GTGATAAAGCCGTCGTCCTCGATATGTATACCCAATGGTAAGCAAAAAGTAGAACTTGAATTAGTACATATGCATGCCCTGATTTATACTAGTAAGACGTAAATTTAATGAAAATCTAGTGTGTAATTTTGGTTAATGAATCAGTTTATGTTGGGTAGCTGCATCATAATCTCCAAAAGTCCCCAGTCAGTGGCGGGAGGTAGAAAGTTTTTTTAGGGAGCAAAATGAAACCTTTACTGGAGAAATAGTGCATTTATGTGTTTATTGAAAGTCTATGGGGGCGAAATTGTTAAAAGAAATTGTTTTTGAATAATATATGTTAAGTTTTTAACAATAAATTAAAAGCGGTATATTCTTCTATAAAAAAAAAAAAAGAAAAAAAAGAAAAGAAAAAAAAAAGTGGTTGATGAGATATAGGCTATTGATTTAAGAACAAAATGAACATAAATTGATTAGAAAAATATTAATGAACAAGGTAGGGAAATTATAAGACTATCAATTAACAAATAATTTGTAAAATGATAATAATGGATAATTTTTACTTGATTGATCTTCATTTTTCCTTACATATTAAGTTGTCTTTATTTTCCTCTATCTCATAATCACAAAAAAATAATTTTCAATAATTAAAAAATAGGGAAAAAAAAAAGTCCCTTGGGGACGTACTAATGCTTAAGAACATGAGTATCCACCTTGGAGATCTCAAGTGGGCGTGGAGGGGTTTGAGAAGGGAAGACATATCCCCTATTTTACAGTTCATTATCCAATTTTTTTTAAAAAATAACCTTAAAATGGTATGAAATAAAATAAAAATATAGATGAAAATGATTAAAGTGTAACTAAATGGACTAAAACAAAATTTTCTCAAATGTTTAGGGGGTTTGGGATCCTAGGCCCCACTTAGCTCTGCTAGTGCTTCCAATTACAGGATTTACCCTGAGTGATGTGCGATTTGGTTGAACCATGCAGCCATCGCCCTCTCTATGTATTATTGGTCGAAAGCAACTTCTCAAGCTTAATTTATTGTAAGTGGTTGGTTTTGACACTAAGTACCCATTTAATGAGGTTGGCTTTTTCTTTTTTTTTTTGGCACAATTAGGGCATCCCTCTCCCATAGTTTATCGATCAGACTTGCATAATTCGAACTAGTACCTCTTACCTCTTACCTCTACTGGAAAGAGCTTAGCACTGAGCCACTTAGGTCCTTGAGAGTAAGGTTGTCCTCAAAGGTTATTTGTTGCCAAAAATTAGACATTACGCATTAAAATTATTTTAAAAAAATTAATAACTTACAAAATTTAATTTTGGTTTTTGTAGTTTAAAATTTTGTTTGCAAGTTATCTATGTTAATTTTGATCATTCAAATTTTGGCAATAAAAACAAAATACTAATTATAGCAATGTTATTAAACGGGTCCTAACATACCACTCAGTTATATGGGATTCAAGGCGTCATGTAAAAATGAAATGCTTGGTGATCCAACAAGACCTTTCAATTTGTTAGATCACTTCTCGTTTTAAGCTAACATGTACTGCAATTGTTTACCTGACTAGCTATGGTGAGAACATGTAAGTGAGGTTTTGAGATTAGGGTTTCAATCTCCCACAAAGTTGAGATGATTGAAGAATATTTGATTAGTATTTTAACGATTCATTCCACCATTGTCCGTTTTGTATCATTTGTTGATTGGAACATGAAAAAGGGTAGGCTGTGTTTCCTTAAACCAATGTCTATTAGCTATCAGTGGGAATAGGACTGAAGAAACTCTTTCATTATCATCCTCATATTCTCGGTTCCTAACTACTATTTATGCTGTTACCAAAAACTTTAGGAACTTAGTATGCAGTGTGGCATGTACAGTTTTTTTATTTGTTTATGATGTTTTTGTACTCACGTTATTTATTACTAAGTTTCTTGTTCTGTTGAATTTAATTAACTCTCCTTCTGCCGTTCAAAAAAAAAAAAATTAACTCTCCTTCTAACGTTGCAGGTGTGGTCCTTGCAAGGTGATGGCCCCAAAGTTTCAAGAATTATCTCAGAATTACCTTGATGTTGTCTTCCTGAAGCTTGACTGCAATCAGGAAAACAGGGTACATATTCCTATACAAATCAACTTCCTTAAACATCGCTTTGATGGCCATACTCATTTATATGAACACTGTGCACAAATACATCTCATTCATTGATGCATTCCAATACACAAAAACATGCACTTAGGGGGGGTGTGAATCTGTCTCATATATACTCTCATTCACTCATGGTTGATTTTGGAATGGTTTGGCAGCCATTGGCAAAAGAGCTTGGCATAAGGGTGGTTCCTACTTTCAAGATTCTTAAGGACAACAAGGTTGTGAAAGAGGTCACCGGTGCTAAATTTGATGATCTAGTGCTTGCCATTGAGACTGTCCGATCCAGCTAACTTCTGCACTCTCCTTTACCAATTACCATGTACTTCAATATTCACAATATAAGAAGAATATCTG